CCACATCCTGCAATGCCCAAGGGGCAGCTTGTTTCCTTCAACTTTGCCACTAAGACTCACAATTTTACTTCAAGACTATCTTCATTATCAAATTACATCCCAGTATTTATCCAAAGGGCTCAGACACCAACAGCAGGTATCTTCCTGAGCCACAAGCCTGGGCTCTCTAGGCATTTAAAAGCCTCTGGCATCACTGAAACTGTTGGTATCAGGAAAAAGATCCCTTTCTCTCTCAAGTGCTAGATGAAGACAATGTTTAAAGCATCTTGGCTGTACTCTGGCTGTGGCAGCCATAAAGATATCCCTCAGGCCATGTAGGGGAAAGTACCTGACAAATCCAAATGTTCCACCAAGAATCAAATTTGGTGGCAAAAGCAGCAACTCAAGATGATAACACCTATTGATGCCTGGGCAGTGACCAATGCTTGGGCTCCCTGGTCAGAGCTCTGGATAAAAAGATTGGAAAAATCAGAAGTCTGAGACAGGACATATGGATGCTCAAGGCTTATTGATTTGTATATTACATGTTAAGACCCACTACAAGCCAAACATTTTGTCTCTTTGGTCAACAGGCAAAATAGCTCTGCCACTGGTTATCAGCCAGGCTTTTTCAACATCTAATGGGCAAATGCACATAGTAGCCATGGTAGCAGATACGAAAAATAGCCTGTGTACCTAACACAGACTGCTATTTCCTAGAGAAATTCTGGTTACCATTCCCTCTGAATGCCCCACTTGTCAGACAGACGTGGAATCTAAGGTATCTATGTAAGGAGACCAACTCACTACATGGTAGCAAGCCGACTACAGTAAGCCCCTTCCATTCTAGAAAGCCAGCATTTTATGTTCACAGGAATAGATCTCATCTTGATACGGGTTTGTCTCCTGCTTGTGAAGTCTCAGCTACCCCCTCCCACTCTGGAGACTCCTACGCTTCTTCCACAGGTATGGAGCCACATACAGCAAAGTATGTTACCACTGGATGGAGAAAGATAGGTGGGCCCCAGATCACAGAAAGATAGGTGGGCCCCAGATCACAAGGTCTGCTGGTCATATCACAAAACCATTTACAAGTAGGGAGTCTCAGAATGCTGGCACAGCCTTCAGGGAACAGAGGCATGGACTCCAAGTAAACAAGCAGACGTTTTGGAATGCCATCCTTTACAAGGCAGTGCGTTAGAGGCACCTGTGGTACTGCATCCCACGTTGGGAGACTGCATGGGTGCAGAAATGAAGTGTAGTCACACTTTCTATCATTCCCTATGAGCCACTGGGTCACTGAGTTATTCTTGTGGATTAACAGGAGATGGTTTGCACACTGACATGTCAGAGTATGAATGAAACCCAGGTGATCTACTTGGGCATCTCCCAGTACTCCCTTGACCCACTAACTCATTTAACAACCCAACTTGAAAAAATGGGGTTTACTAGTGGTTCAGGCCCCTTAGTATGAAGATTTTCATCCTACTACCAGCTAATAACTAGCCCTCAGCCAAGGTCATAGCTGAGGGCTAAGAAAATTTAGATGGTGGGTGTGGAGGAAGGTTATTATTTTTTTTTTCCAAAATGGAGGACCATTTATTTCATTACTCAATCAAAACACTCCATGGAAGACTGACTTATGTAATTTCACATACTTCACTAATACATATGGGGGTGGGAGGGAAGCTCTACTACCCGGTGCCACAAAACTATTTGATATAACTAATGACATGCAAACACAATTTGCAAAAGCAGAGCATTACCACAATATAATATTTCAAAAATTGGTTGAGTAAATAGATTCCATATCTTTAAAATGAGAAAAAAAATTACACTGTGTTGAGCATCGGAAATCTGGGCAATATCTACAAACCTTCTCATTTACAGATAGGAACAAAGGCCCAGAGAAGTTAAGCCACTCAACCCAGTTCACTGAGCAAATAAGAGTCTGCATTTGCTATTTTGGAATAAGTTGTCTCCTTTCAAATGATTTTTTAAAATGGATATCACATACTTTTTGTTTGTACAGAACATTCATATAAAATAGTTGCTCTTGAACTATATCCATTACTATTTATCCACTTATTTTTCTGTCATAATGCTATAACTTTTTTTCTTTGAATATTCACCTGTTGCACTGAAAGGCTCTGCTGGATTTCAAAACTACAGATTCAGAAACATGGCACAAAGGTGCAATTTACAAACCACAATTTTTTAAAAGAATTAAGTATTCATGCCAAATCAAAACAGCCACCCACCAGTGTCAAACACGTTTATATTTCATATGGAGACAACCACAAATTAAAAGTATCGGCCAAAATGTCTCTTTTCTCTCTTTAAGTCACCTTTACTTTTAAGATGTACCTGTTTGCAAATATTTAGCATTCACAGTACAACTGAATTAGTTACATTCATAACGATCACAATCACTATTCTGTGTTCAAGACTCTCCAGAATCTTAATTGCCTAAAATGAGGTAGATAAACGTTTAAGTTTGTTGGTTGGAATTAATTTCCTTTAGATATTGATCATCTATTTTTTAAACGGAATTCCAAAATATTTAGCAAAAAAATGAAAATGTCTGAGCACTTTGCCTAAAAGTGGAAAAATATAATTTCAAAACGTTATTATGAAAGTTACTTTACCTCATTTCAATTTAAAAGTAGAATAAAAGCATCAAATCACAAAACCACCACATATCTTAAAGCTGACAACCTAACATCTTCCAACATTTAAAGAGACCCTTGCTCCAGTTCTGGCTTGGCATTGTGTAGATGCAGAGGCATCGGTTAACCACTTGGGGCCAGACCAGCTGCTGCCCCCTAACCTTTGATCCTGGATTTCAAGTTTCCTCCAGCGTTCAGGCCTGTCTCCTGGAGTTCTTTATAGGAGGCTCTCAATGAATTCTCAAATACAATCTCTGGAGATGGGTCGTGCTTCAAAGAGAAGCTGGAAGTGCAGGCCCCTCTGGGTAAAACAGGCTGCAGTGGGCAAAATTGGAAACAGAACGAGGCTGCAGGCATTGATTGGGCTGCAGTCTTGGGCGGACTTAGACTGCGAGGAACAGGCCACGATAGATCAACCCAGGTGGTAGCCGCAGGGACCTTCAGATAGTTGGGGGCAAACGGGGCTAAAGGCCCCGGAGTAGGTCAACGAGAGATTTCTGAGAAGGCTGGCAGACCACAACGGATCTTTGTCTTTTAACGTGGAGCCAGGGGCAAGGCACTGAAGAACTTGCAGAAGGAGCTTCAAGCCTCGGGCCAGGTCCTGGAGCATGAGGTTGTCGGCCAGAATGCCTAGAAATGCACTGGTGGTGGAACTGAGGATGGTGGCAGCCACCTACACTGGGCACCCGGCAGCAAGACTGCCACTTCCACCACTGTACACATCTAGCTCCATGGTGCCTGGCAGGCCTGGATCGCCAAGTAGCATGTACGAAGAGCTGGGCCTCAGGTACTGGTAGGCGCGACACCCGCTGTGGTCACACACGTGCACCTGGGCACCCAGACGCACCACCAGCAGCACAACAGCATCCTCGTGGCAGAGTAGCACAGCCAGGCGCAGCAGCATGTAGCCTCCGTGGGAGCGCAGGTTCACATCCACTGCCAAGATAACGATCAAGACCAGTGTTCCTAGCAGCAGGGAGTGGAAGGAAAGCAGTGTTCAGCAACAGGAAGGAGCGTCTACACAAATCCATCACCCTTGCCTGCATGACCCAGCTGAGCCCTCAAGCAACTTCCTCAGATAGTGGAGATCCAGTCATGGGGTTTCCTCCTGACAATTCTCATTCCACTCCAAGTCAAAACACTGAAGCCCTGTAGCCCCAGAAGGTACAAGCATTCCAGAACTAAGATGAGGTTGACTTGACCTCAAAACCAGTTTCTGATTAGAACAGCCTGTGACTTTCTACTGACCACAGAAAGCAGGAAAAATCCTTATTACTGCTTTTGAGGCTCATATTAAGTCTATATGTTCAGTGTGTTTTTTGCCATGTGGCTTTGTTTATATAAACCTTTCAGTAATGAAAGGTTTGTTCTCCCAGCTACTGGAGGTCCCCAGGCAGGCAGATGTCAGCAGTTAGCCCCTCCTGGGCTTGGCTCACCAGAAGTCACACCTCTTCCTGGGTGGCTGGCATCCAATGCTTACTCAGAGATTAAAACCCCAGACCCCTCATTATAACGCAGAGATTAAAACCCCAGACCCCTCATTAAAAGGACCTCAGCTTCAGAACTGACCCCAGAGTTGGCTGAAGCTTCTTTGAAGAAGGCATCACAGCTCAACTTTTTCCTTTACGTTCACTTACATTCCCTTTCTCACAAGTATGGAACCCTGGTTAGCTTCCTGAGCTCACCTCCATCTGAGGATCTGCTTCCTGGAAAATCTATCCATCCTCTGACAGTTACAGAACATGTGATTCACTTGTTAACATGCTAGTCAAGCTGTGTTCTAACATGAAATGGAGGTCAAGCACAGGAGTGTCTTCAGTAGGATCTCCAGAATTCTATTCCATTTCTGCAGAAGATACACTGACTGATTTGCAAAGAACAGTCCTGAACTTGTGCCTAGGAGTTTAAGTGACTACAAATGCAGCACAGGATCCCTGCACAGATAGGCCAGGTAGCCACAGGTTGCCAGTCATTACATGACCAATGCTGAGGATTTTTATCCTTGAGGAGGAAAACCAGGGATAGGCTATTTGCAAACGTTCTTTCTAACTCTAAGGAATTCCCTTTTCACCATCTTCCGAGATGTAAGAGGAGCTTGGGTGGAGAGCCTTGGCCGACCAAGGGCCAAGCACACTCCACCGAGGTTAGAGGCTCTGGCCTTCACTTGCTGGAAAGAAGGCTTGACACACAAGGGATTGATAATTTTTTGGTCTGTTTTAATGTGATCAAAAGGTTTGCTCCATTTGAGCAGCTCCCCCAGGCTGTGGTTAGTACCCAACCAGGGAGCGGTAAACAGGGAGGGCATGGGGGAGGGACAGCATTCTCTCTAGTAGGACAGGAAACCAGACCCATTCAGGCAAACAGAAATATAGAAAAGAAGCTGGCGTCAAAGTGAAGGAGGGTCATGAACTTCAGAACCAGCAAGACCCTGCCTCCAAGCTGCATGTATTGTTTGGGGGAGCTCTCACGCACGGTGGGGACGCCCGCAAACATGCTCTTCCCTTCAAAATGAGATTCTGCTAGGAGCAGCAACAGGCCTCCTCCCAGGGCCAGGTTCCTGAGGAACAGATATGCAGGCTGAAGCGAAGCCTCACCAGGATCTGGCCTACCTGTCAGACCAGGTGCAGGGAGACCTTGGTGCCCATAGAGGAAGGCCCTTACTTCCCTTTCTCCAAACCCAGCGATCTGCAAAGCAGGACCAGGCAGGCATGAGCACAGGGCGTCAGACTCTTGAGTTACACCCATGTAAAACCTTACATAGCTCAAGAGACAGAGGTATCTTTACAACTTGACAGCGATGGGCCACCTGAACACACGCAGAACCAAGTCACAGCTTCAGTGTTGACCAGCTGGGTCCCTGTGGGCAGCCATGTCCTCCACTCAGACCCTGAGTCCCCACGCCTGTGAAATAAGGGGCAGAAGAGATGGCTTCAGTCACTACTATTCTAGGGGCTCTGCAGCATCCTCTTCAGAACCTGCTTCTAAGAGGCACAGTTCAGACCAGAGGGCTAATCTTTCAGCTTCCCTGGGCGACACTGGAAGAATTGCTTGGTCACAGATGAAATACACTAATACTAATGATAGCTGATGAGCTAAAAAAATAAAATTTAAAATCGCAAAAACTCTCATAATGTTATAAGAAAGTTTATGAGTTTGTGTTTGGCCAGGTTCAGCCCATGGACCACAGGCTGGACAAGCTTGATTTTGACCCAAACACGTTAACTGAGTTTAGAAATACAGATTGAGTATCCCTAACCTGAAACACTTAGGACCCATAGTGTTTCAGATTTTGGTATATTTATATACTTATCGGTTGAGCATCCCAAATCTGAAAATCCAAAACCTGAAATGCTCCAACGAGAACTTCCTTTGAGCATCACGTTAGTGCCCAAGATTTTCCCATTTTGGAGCATTTCAGACTTTGGATTTGCAATGCTCAGCCTACACGAGGAGCGCATATTAAAACTCACCAACCAGAATGTACATACCTCATCAAAAACTTCAAGTCCCATAAAATGCTGTAGGCAATCGTCTGGGGGGGAAAAAGAGAGAGACACCTGAGACTCAGCCTTTCCAAAGGCATTTCCACAGAATTCTTAATAGCCTGAAGCAATGTCTCTCCAGTGTCAGCTGGAGTCTAAAACACACAAAACCAACATAGGACACCTAGCACAGATCTAGGCTCAAAAATGTGGTTCTGCATTTCTCAAGAAATGTAATGTGATGTTTCGGAGAACAAAGTGATGGAGACCATTGATGTGGATTCGGATATTCCGTTCCCAGCAATTCATTCGGAATAACCAGCTATTCTTCTTTATGAAGCAACGTGATAACAAGACAGCATCCTGACTGCAGCCAAGCTCAGGACTTTCCCTTGTCACAATAATCACAGGAATGGGGCAAAAGATGGCCCCATTCCTAATGACCCACCTCTACAGCCCTGCTTGGGCTCACGACTTCCCCAGAAGAGAAAGGAGCTCCAGGCAGTCAGAGACGTGCAGAGGGCTGAAGAGGGAGTGACACTGAACCCAAAAGGGTATCTTTTCAGAAGCTCTGCTCCACCAAAGCAAAGAGAAGGGAGCCCCAACCACACGCCCGTGTACCTGCAGAGCTATGATTCCAAAGAGGCCGAAGCAGACGTACTGCACGAACTTCCTGTTTAACACCAGGACGCAGCCAGCTGGGGAGAAGGAAAAGGGTCAGGGGGTCTGAGGATGCGTTCCGGGGGAGGAGCACTGTTTCGATACACTGCCACCTCACCTGGCCCTCTGGTCCAGAGACAGGTGAGGAAAACCACCTACCCAAGCAAAAAGCAACTTCTGGGAGAATTAATGATACTCAAGGATGACACATGGTAAGTTGACTGGACTTAACACAAACACAGAAAGTGGAGCCCTTGCTGTAATAAAGAATGTGCTGTTTCCCACAGTCAGCCGCCCACCTGAGGTGGAAAATTAACTGCTCTACTGTGGAGAGTTCACACATAGCCTCCCAACTGCTAACAATCATGGAATAAGAAGCCCAGTGAATCCTGCCCACTCTGAGAGCCACTCACTCAGCTGTCCCAGCAAGTTGAGGAAGACGACGGACGAGGCCAGCAGGTAGCTGCAGTTCCAGGTGGTGTCGATGTAGCCGCACTGGCCCCTCCACTGGAACCACATGCGGATGCCATCCTCCAGGAAAGTGCCGATCAGATAGAGGTGCACCATGTTGGGCAGGTACTGCTTTATGACACGGAGGAACTGCAGGGCCACAGAAACTCAAAGGTGAGGTGACTGTGACAGGGAGCCCCAGACCGCAGCTGGGCACATCCTTGGGCAGGATGTGCATGAGGAACAGACGCTGTGGAAGGTAAGAGCTTTGGTCAGTCCCGGCCCCTTCTGAGGACAGACTAGGGGGCTCTGAGTGCTTGCTCCCGAGTGCTACCCCATGAGCCTGGACACAGATGACAATCCAAGTATCAGTCCCAGCGATGCATGACATAGCACTGAGCACTCTGGTGCAGGCCCCATAGGGCAGCAGCCCTAACACTCTGCCACTGTGATTTCCTCCAGTGCCTTGGCAGGCAACTACAGTCATCGGAGTTGGCACTGCCACAAGACACAGAGCTTCTCTTTTCGGTCAAGGGCATTTACAAATTGGAATCACAGAATGACATCTGAAAAGGCACTTAGAGGTCATCTATCCAGGGTTTCCACACCTCGGCACTACTGGCATCTGAGGCTGGGCCACTCTTTGCCATGGGTCATCCTGGGTGCTACAGGCTATGACACAGCAAGCCTGGCCTCTGCCCGTGACATGCCAGCAGCACCCTCCCTACTGAGGCACCACTGCACTTTGCCAGGCATCCCCACTGCTCTGGTCCAACCCCTCACCTTACAAATGGGCATACTAAGCCCAGCGGGAAGGGGTTTCCTGACGGTGCAATGCCAAGACCTAACCTCAGCTTGCAGGTCATACATGGCTGAGGTGCCAAGGCCTGGACCTCTCAGCCTGCCCGGTGATGCCCAGAACACCCCGACAGAACAAGGATTGGCTTAGGTGACAGCCAGGGTCCCAGGCCTAGAGGACCACATGGTTGACTGAATGGTAAGATCACATGTTTGCTGTTAGCCAAAAATCTCCAGAGCAGGAGGAGGAAGCCCCAGGTTCTGCAGAGTGCATGTCAGATCCTGACAGTCCCCAAGTGTACACGGCAACTGTCAGCGCAGCATGGAGCTGGTACTGCTAATGGCTAGAAAGCACTGGGATTTTGTCAAAGCCTGCATAATCTTGAGTAAATTAATACACATTAACAAATGGGATGGACAGCTGTTTCAACAGCAATGAAATGCAAGTGTATGAAATTGCTGTTAAAGGTCAAAGGCAAAGAAAACATTTATGACTTCCTGCTGTCCTGTGAGTCAGGTCATTTATGACCGCTGGGTTCGGTGGCCAACATGCACTACTGGATGCCTGGTACAAACGTCACACAGGTTTACCCCATGCACTCTTATCATTCATGCAAAACTGAGATATCAAGGGAAAGAAATCATGTAACACAGCAAGTCCTTCGGAGTAAGATCAGGGGACCCGAATGCAAGTTGGGAAGCCAGAGTCTAAAGAGCCCCCGAAAGCCTGACCCCCGCAGGTGAGGCGAGCAAACGTCAGCTGCACAGTCCCTCCTAAGGCTGACTAAACCTACTGTTGGAATAAAAGAAGATGTGCCTAGGTGCTTCTTACTTTTCACCATCTTTCAAGTTGCTTCAAACTCCTAGACACTGCTGAGGCTCCCATCTCAGTTAACAAGCCCTGGCTGTTCAGATCACCCTCCAGCCTGTCAAGTGGGGCCCTGGCTAGGTCAGAACTGCAAATTGGCTCCTGTGTGGTAGGGGGGTAGAGGTGAAGATTACAAAGCCAAGTGGCCATTCTCCCCAAACCCAGTAAGCCTGCACTCTGCAGTGTCAGTTCTACACAACTTTACTCAACCTTTGCCTCCACTGAAGTGATGGGGGACATCACAGTGACCGACAGATACCCAGGGAATCACCAAGCCGTTTGAGATAGCATCTCTACTATCCTACAGTAGAGTGAGGCCAGATGAACTAATGGTTGCTAAGATTCTTTCCAACCTCACTAGGAGCAAGACCTTGTTCTATATTTTATTTTTTAAAAGACCCCACATACTCCCCTGTGAATGTCAGAGCCAATGCAGAGGACCAGCACAAGATGCCCACATCACACTGGGAGGTGGGAAAACATGACACCACACACCCTCCCCAGGTTCTGCCTCACGGCCCCGTTGCTTTCTAAATGCCCAGCAACAGTGTAATCACCCATATTCCGTGGAAGAGATAAAGTACACTACCTTGCCACGTGATGTGCCACTGTTCTCAAGTAACGGCCTTTGTGTCGCGGCCTAGCTAGGAAGCCCTGGCAAGGACACGGAACTTCACCTCATCTAAACCTGGGGAAAAGCAACTGCAGGGAAGGAAGAGCTCAACAAGAGGCTGTGTAGACCTCTGAGATGGCATGGAGCTGTGGCGGGACTCCTAGGGTGTGCACCCCAACAGCAGCAGAGAGGCATACTGTAATCCACAGCCATGACAGACACCAGAGGTGTTCTGACTTGCTTCTAAAATGAGAGCTGTGAGCCATTCAATGACCTCAGATGAGCAAACCAGCCCCAGCCATGGGCTGCAGTCTTAAGCCTCCCCTAGCTGCAGGACCCGCATTTAACATGCTCATCTGCTACGTGTACAGCCCATGAGACTGAGACGGTGTTTAATGGTCTCTTTGATGAGTCTGCGGCTCTTAATTTGAGTGTCTCGGTCAAGAGGATTAAAGAACAAAAAAGAGAAGGTGGGGCAGCCAATTCACACCTCCTTCCCTTGTCACGTGGTGACAAGACAGACACAGCTCTTGGCTTTGGGGAAAAATATGCAAAAATTTGGGTACTGCACTGTGAACTGAGCATATCTACCACTTAGCTGCTCTGGTCTTCAAAGGCAAGCCTGGTCCAGACAGAAGGCTGACTACCTGTAAGGCTGATGCAGTCTCCTTTAAACCAGCCACCAGCTAATGAGCATCCCCTAACATGGGGGACTGTTTGGACTTAACACTGAAAAAGCCATGTTTAAAGACCAGGCCCGACATGAACCTCTTTCCCCACACACGTTGGTCACAATTTCTTCAGCTTGGCCACTGGACCCATGTCATGCCACTCTAGAACACGTCCCAAAGCCAGTGTTCTCTCAGCACAGCAGAGAAGAGCCCCCAACTCAGGCATGACACACAGCACCCGGGACAGACAAGAGCAGCCACACTGCAGGCACTCAGCCCACTGCTGGTAGCCAGCACACAGGTGACCTGTGTAAACATGGCGAGCACATAAAACCCGTGACAGTCCCCCTCCCCCACATCATAGAACTGTTGACAGCAGAGCCAGAGGTGGCTGCTGACCTGGCAGGCTGTAAGACATGACACACTTAGCTCACCTATGTGGCCAAGCTTCTCATTAAGTCTCTCCGAGAACCGCGCCATCAAGCAGGATATGGTTCGTAAGCAGTGACAGCATCTCAAGAGCTTAATAGGAAGACTGAGATTCCTCTCAGAGGGGTGGTTATTTTAAACAACTGAAGGGGATTTGAGAAACATAATTATATCCACCCTGAGAGATGACTTTGTGGGCACACAGTGATCGCTATCACAGCCACCTGCAGCTCCCACACCACACAGAAAACTACACTTTCTCTTCACACTCAGGACAAAAAGCAATTAAGAAAAGCAGCCTGCAAATTCATGGTGAATGAGAACATCGAGGAAAAAGGGAGGTCACATTTCCTTGATCACCAAGGATTGGGGCTGCCTTGCTCAAGGCCCAACTCAGGTCCCACACATCCTAGAAATGAGGACACGGGCCTTCGCCTCATCTAAACCCGGGGAAAAGCAACCACGGGAATGAAAGAAGCAGCCCAGCGGCTTCTCACATCAGGTTGTCAGGGCTGGCTCCACCTCAGTGGCTCACTGCAGCTCCAGAACTTCCCCGAGCCTCCCTCCCGTGCTGCTCTAGAGGTTTACACTGCACCCTGCAGGGCCAGAGAAGGTGTCGCACAGCCCAACGTGGGAGATGATGGCCTGGCTTTACTAAATAACTGTGTGATCAAAATCACAACTGTAGGAAAGAAGTAACTGAGCACAATTGGGCCCCATCTTCTGGGAGGAGCCCCACTAACCACAACCTCCCCTGCTTCTCCCCCACACTCCCCTAAAGAGTGGAGTGGATGTGTTTTAACCTCCCATTAAGATCAGCACACAAAGAAAAGTGAGTCAGCTCCTCTTTGCCTTCTCTCCTTGCTCCTTCATAGTACAGAGTAGGGTATGACAGGCCTGCCACTGTCACCAGGACCCCACCACACCAGACTGCCACCCTCACGATGTTCATCAGGAGCCTCACAGTGCCTGTCCACCAGCAGGTTCAGGTGTCCTCAGGACCATCCTCACTTCCCCAGCACTTCAACTAGGGCCAAGGCCAGCTCCTAGGGCCCAGGACTAGCTCTGCTACTCTTGAGGAGAGGTTAAAAACACCGAAGGCCACACTGGAGAGGAAGCCACCATGAAGCTTTTCTGTTACCTTGGTGAGGAGCTGCCAGGCAAAACCCATTGAGTGCCAATATTGCTGTTTACGGGTATAAATTGCTTAGAAGCTACATTTTGAGGAGTGTCTAACAGGCAGTGAGGAGCAGCTGCAGGCATGGACATTAGTCTGGATTGCTGAGTTCATTAGAGTTTCTGGCCTCTTCCCATAGCTTCCAAATGTCTAGCTCCTGCATAGAGCACATCTCAGCAGTTTCTACAGAGCACGGCTCCCAGGAGCAAGAGGACACTGACCCTGGCTGCCAGGGCAAGGAGCTTGATGCCAGCGATAGAGAGACAAGAGATGCAGCTGGGGGGAGCCTGCCAGCCCCTGCCAGCAGAAACTAGCCAGACTGCTCGTCCCCGTGGACCAGGCTCTGCAGACCAGAAGGTTACAGTCCACCAAGGAGCAAGGAACAAGATGCAAACTCAGTCTCCAGCCCACCATGAGCCAGTGCGGCCAGCCAACCTCCCTCTGCCCATCTGAAGATGGAGACGATCTGGCCAACCTGCTGCAGTCAGGAAGGTCACACAAGGAATGTGTATCATGGACCTGGCCCACTCAAAGACTTAATGTCATTGTCGTAATACCAGAGGACACTGGGCCTGGGAAACTAAGCTTATTTAGGTCTTGCTCTCAGCAGCCCACACTTTCTAGTCAAATCTTGTCACTTCGGTTTCGCTTCTGTTTTCTGAAGATGAGAAAAACTGGATTCTTACTTTATCTGATCAGTGACTTCCATGGTAATTCCCCATTGGGTTCAAATCAGGTCATTTTCATGTAAAGGCCTGGACTGGGAGCTTTAAGTACTACGTGGATAAATAGAAGAAACAAAGCTCCACCTGGGCTTCATCAGATTCTGTCCACAAGAAGCCACACTGTGACGTCATGACCTGTTAACCTGCCTGAGTCTGTCTGATTGGAGTTTGGGCAAATACAAGTCACTGCCCTCCCAAGCTGCCCACAAAGGGGCATGGAAACTCCAGTCGCCATGCTCTGCCACCACCCAGGCAGACTCTAATGAGGTCATCTGATATCAGCAGCCTGCACTGCCTGACAGATATGGTCCTAATCACTTGGAATTTGTATGTCAACAAGCCGCTCACCCCTTCACCTGCTAGTGCTCTTCCCTTGACTTGGGACAGAAGAGGAATACCAGGCTCGGGAGAACTGGGGACCAAGACCTAGGGTTTCTTCAGTGGCCCACAGGCAAGTCCAGGAGGCTGAGCAGGTTTGGCTCTCCTCAGTAACCTGGGAGAGGTCAACCCTGTGCCCCCTCAAGAGCCCCTTTCCAGTTCCAAGCTACTGTTTCTTTCATTTAAAACAAAACAAAACACATGAAGGCGGCTAGGCGGGATGGCTCACACCCATATTCCCAGCACTTTGGAGGCCAGGGGGGTGGATCACCTGAGGTCAGGTGTCCAAGACCAGCATGGCCAACATGGTGAAAAGCTGTCTCTACTAAAAATACAAAAATTCACTGGGCATGGTGGCAGGTGCCTGTAATCCCAGCTACTCAGGAGGCTGAGACAGGAGAATAGCTTGAACCTGGGAGGTGGAGCTTGCAGTAAGCTGAAGATTGTGCCACTGCATTCCGGCCTTGGCAAGAGAGACTCCAACTCCAAAATAATAATGATAACAAAACACGAAGAAAAGGCCAGGTGCAATGGCTCACACCTGTAATCCTAACACTTTGGGAAGCTAAGGCAGGCAGATCACCTGAGGTCAGGAGTTCCAAGACCAGCCTGGCCAACATGGCAAAACCACATCTCAACTAAAAATACAAAAATTGGCTGGGCATGGTGGCACTCACCTGTAATCCCAGCTACTTGGGAGGATGAGGCAGGATAATCGCTTGAACCCAGGAGGCAGAGGCCGCAGTGAGCCAAGATCATGCCATTGCACTCCAGCCTGGTGATAGGGCGACACTCTGTCTCAAAAAAAAAAAAAAAGTTATTGGCAGATTAACCTAGGGACATGGCTAATATTTATTTATTCATATTTTTTTTTTTTTTTTTTGAGACGGAGTTTCACTCATTACCCAGGCTGGAGTGCAATGGCATGATCTCGGCTCACCGCACCTCCGCCTCCTGGGTTCAGACAATTCTCCTGCCTCAGCCTCCTGAGTAGCTGGGATTACAGGCACGTGCCACCATGCCCAGCTAATTTTTTGTGTTTTTAATAGAGACTGGGTTTCACCATGAATTATTTTTAAGACAGAGTCCTGCTCTGTCGCCCAGGCTGGAGTACACCTACTTCAGCCTCCCAAAGTACTGGGATTACAAACGTGAGCCGCTACGCCTGGCCCAATATGTAAACTTTATGTTCTCTGGGAACAGATGTTCTAAGTTGTCAGCACCTGCATTTAGCAATGAATATTTGAGGCATAGACTCCCTACATGACCTGGAGCTGCTGGCTTCACAGCTGAGGCAAAACTGGTGCTGATGCTATTGGGGCAGCCACTATCCCTGAGGGCCCCTGGACAGAGCAGCTGTGAGGCCACAATTCAGCCTGCCTTGCCTTGGGGTAGGGAGGGAGGGAACCTGCCCACTGCCCTGCAGCAGAGTAGGGTGCAAACCCAGGACAGATGTGTCAGGCTTCCCACGCCTTCCTTAATAGCCCCTGGGCTTCCTCCAGAGGGGCTTCCAGGCCAGCCTGTGTCCCCTTCCACAGGCATCCTGTCCACACCAGCACCCCCTGGTGGCCTCACACAGCTCCTGTGGCAGAGGCAATTGCCCCCTCCTCTGTACATCTCCTTTAAGCAGCCAGGGCTGGGAAGAGTTTCCTCTGCCCCTGCCTGCTGGTGCCCCAAAGGGCACTCCGCTCCCCGCCCCGCCCCGCACGAGCTGCGCCTCTGTGCCCGCCGCTGGTTATTTGCTCTTTCTGGCTCTGTCTCTCCTCCTCCACTCTCCTCAGGATGCTACTCTGTGCCCAGGACGGTTCTGAGACTGAACAAGGGCAGAGCAAGGGAGGCAGGACGCAGGAAAGCCAGTGCCCCTGCCAGCAGGTTAGAAGGAGGCAGGCATGGATTGTCACAGCTACGGGCATGGGAAGGGCTAGCTGTGCCCTTCACCTGCATCCTGGCTGCCGTGAGGATTCCCCGTGTTAGAGGTTGGGACGCCTGCCAGAGGTCACCTGGCTAATGTAGGAAATGCTGTCTCCTGTCTGCTGAGTTAATGAGTATTGGGGGCCAAAGACTCCCCCTACAACGCCCTGGAAAACTCTAGAACTGCTGCAGCTGGCAATGCCACTGAGCCCAGGGCAGGGAAATGAAGCCCAGGCCATGCTGGCTCTAGATATCTGTGGCTCCCAGCATGGCCATTGGGCAGAAAGGGACATTTTCAATCCACCACCAGGAAGGAAAGGTTTGTCCAGGAGAAGGCACAAGATGGACACGGACTTCGCGTCTGCTGGACTGAATCTTGATTTTCTAAGCTAATGGGGTCAGAGAAGGCCTCCCTGTCTCCAGCCTAAGATTCCCCCTAGGTAAAAAACACATGGACTCTGATTTCTCAAGCCCTGCCAGCTCAAAAGGTTTCAGGTTTCCGGCTTCTTAAGTGGCCCCAAGAGGGTCAGGATGATGAGTTTTGATCCTTCTGCATCCTTGGGGCCCAGCATGGGCCTGGCACGTAGGCTGGCTCCAGCTTCGTGGATAAGGCTGAGTGTGTCAGAAATTGGAACTCCAACAGCTTTCAAGGCCATTCCCTGCCTGGGCTTCGTCCCCGACAGTCCCATGACTGTCCCTGCCTCCACACTGGGGTTTGGTGACATCCACATGGAACTGCATCCCTGACGCCCTGGACATAGGTATGGACCTGAGTGCCCAGGAGGGGCTGGCCTAGCCTTGACCAAAATTTCTGAATATGGATTCAGAAGCTAACAGGTGCAGCACTGGCCCAGAGGCACTACCCAAGGAGGGAGGCTCTCAGGAAGAGGCCCTGCAGGGGATGCCGGCCAGGCCCTCCCTTCTCCATACTTGGCCTATGTAACTGGTGTGAGTCCTGTGGCTTTTATCACACTGCACTGTGGGAAAGGCTCAGGGCCCCAGCAGATGCTTGTCAACTATCTGTCAATCAAATGCTCTGGCCAGGAGCTCTGCTCTGAAACCCAAGCACAGCTCCACTGCCAGCAAGGATTTGAAAAAGCAGAAGGCCCTTCAGAGTCCGGCCAGCCTTGCCTGCTGGCCAGGCCCAGGTAGGCAGGCTCCCACTCTGCACGGGGAGTCCAGCACTATTTGTACCTGGATGAGTAATACTCCTCCAGCTCGTACAGGTCAATGGAGATCTCGTCCCGCAGCATGATGAGATTCCAGTCGCACTCCTCCTGCAGTGCGCGCAGCCGCTGGTTGCGCTGGTTGATGGCCTCGTTCTCAGAAGGGAAGTCGTTGAGGATCAGGAACTGCTTGAGATCGGACACTAGCTGCATCAGGGACTCACCGGCTCAGACCTGTGGCCATCAGAACCAGGGTGTTCACAGGGTGAGGGGGGGCAGCGGCCCTGCCCTCAGGTGGCTGATGATGGGCAAGTGATGGCCTCTCTGGGAGCCTCTGCTTCATCTGCAAAGTGGGACTCAATTCCTGACCTCCACAGGTTCATTTGTGAGAATTAAGTGAGAAAACTAGGATGTCAGTTCCAGAGGGCAGGCCCTCCCCTCCCCTCAGCCTCTGGCTTCCACTCTTGCAGGACTGGCCTCCAGTCCAATTTCACAGGTGCACATTCTGCTCATTACAAACGCAAACCCCACAGATAAAACTGCAATCCCTCTTGCCTCCTGCCCCCGGGGTAGGGGCAGCACAGCTGCCAGCTGGGCAGGGCTCCTGTGGGACCTTTTCCAGTGCATTCTCTGCCTTGCACGTGAACCTGCAGGAATATCTGCTTGCTGTGTTTCTCCCATGATCCGAAGGAATCCAATGGCATCTACAGTTCCGTTCGGCTGTTTGCCTTGTCACTCACAACAGACCTTAGGAACTTGTGAGTTAGCAGGAAGGGCTGCCCTCTTCCGGGCACCTGCACAGCTACAAGACGACATGGCTGGCTCTCTGCCCAGTCTTCCTCCAGGTGCCCCACATGCGGACAGTCTCCTGAGAAACGATTTGCCCCCACCTCCTTCTTTAAAGCATCTCTACATTCGCCTCCTTCTGCTCCTTCTCAGGGTAAGAGCAGACCAGACCCAGAGCCCCCTACCCTCCACCCAGGAAACCCCAGTGGGGACTGATGCTCCTGGAGCCTGGGCTCTGCCCTCCACCCTGGCCACTCTCAGTGTTGGCGGCTGCACATGCATCTTGTAATTATCCTGTTCACCTTGAGTGGCCTGTGACACCTGTGTCTTGTCCTCAATCTGGGGGCAAACAAGAAAATGTAGAACCAACCCAGCCAAGGCATCCCACCCCTGGCTCGGCCCAGCCCAGTTGATGGTAACTGTCATCTGCCCGGGATGCCCACACTAGCCACAACCTGTCTGTGCTGCCTTCTACAGACCTGAGCACTGTCAGCCAAACCTCTGGCAAGGCTCAATTCCACCCTCTCTTGTTCTGGCCATGGGAGACAACAGGCACCTTGCTCAAGACAAATGGAGGCTGACCCACGCCACTTGCTGTGTTCAGTGCAGGGATGGGTTCTTAGCTTGGTCCGGTCATTTTGGGCTGTGGGAGCCCTGTTTAGTAGGAACTGTTGTCACATGCTTGGCATTTGGTCAACCGTTAGATGGATGAGTGAAGGGATGATGTATTTTTCTTTTCAGTGACCACTTCCTGATCAATTCCCAGGTGCCAGTCACCATGTACACTTGACCACCATTAGCCAATGACATTCTCACAGAAGCCTTGCCTGCCACCCGTGGTTTATAGGTGGACAAGCGAGGCTGGGACAACTGGTGCAGTCAAGGAGTCTCAGATGATGAACAGAGGGGCCAGGAGTCCAGCCAGTCATTCAGCTAACCTGGACAGGGCTTCCCAGCGGGCCTTTCAAGGGCTCAGCTCAGGGTGGGTGTCAGGTACCCTCAGTAGTTAAGAGCCAGACTTGGTGAGTTCAAATCCTGGCTCAGCCAGTTATTAGCTGAGTGAGCTTGGGCAAGTCACTAAGTCTCCTGGGCCTGGGTTTCCTCCCGAAACGGAGAGGACAATTATGCCCACCTCAGAGTCCCCATGAAGATTCAGCGGAACAGGCACAGACAGCCACACAAAGTGGCTTGACACATGGTGAGCACAAAGTACATGCCAGCTTCCAGGCTTACCATTACTGCTTACTGAGCCTGTCAGGTCTGCAGCAGCCAGAAGGGATACAGCCCAATCTGGTGCAGCTGCAACGATCAGCAGGCTTGCAGGCCCCAGTGCTGACTGCTCCACCTGTCTGGAGTGGCCCCGCTGTCTCCCCTCAGCCTGCTTGTCTCCGGCTCACTGGCTCTGTGCCAAACCCCGAGGTAACTGTTTAACACAGGTAAAATCACCAATGCAGGACCCCACCATGCAGGAGAAACTGAGGCACTAAAAAGTGAAATCTCCATCCAAACCCACAGGGACGTGAGGCCCCAGCAGTCCAGCAAGAGTTCCCTGTGCTGCTCTGCCAGGACATGCCATTATTTGGTTGATTTATCTGCTGACCGGCTCCCTGTGCACTGGGTGCTTCCTGCCTAGAACACTCTTCACTCACACTGCTGAGTCCCTGGACTCTCCTGTCTCCACCCCTCCCCAGACCCTGCTCCCCTTTGTGCCCCCTGCCCCACCTTGGCGGTCTTGATGATCTCAGTGAAGTTGTCCATGACGGACTTGATGTCATCCTTCAGCCGCTTGTTGTAAGACTGCAGCAGTGTCTCCTTGCTCTGGGGCAGGGCTCTCTGCTAGGCCATGGCAGAGCCTCAGGTGGTGCAGGGGAGGAGACCTGGACCTAGAGTGCAGGACAGACCCCTGAGTGCAGGCAGAGCCCTCAGCCACCATCTATGCCCCCACCTTAGCAAAACACCCAGATTTCCAGGGATTCCCTTTCTGCCAAATAAAGTCAATCACTGAAACACAGATGAACTCATTCCATCAGCAGTCGCCACATGGGGTGCCGGGACTCTCCTCCGGCCCCGCCTCTGCCAGAGCAAGCTCATCCTAGAACTCCTGGCTAGCCCTCCAAGCTTTGTCCAGGGCTCCAGTCCATACTTCATGTCCAGACCCACAGCGTGTCCCAGGAAGGCCTGAAAGCTCAACACCAGCTCCCTGTCCCTGGCCCTGACATAACTTCTTAGCCTGCTGCCACCCTCGCCATGCCCTCCCATCTGAGGAGTCCTTCCCATCCGACCCCTCTGCCCGACCTGCATCCACGTTTTCTTCCACTCCTACTCTGGCTCCTGACCTCATCCCTGTACTGAGACCCTGCTCCCTCCAGTTTCCTCACAGCAGGGAAGAGGTCCTAAAAAGTGGTCATTCCGGTCGGCCGGGCGCGGTGGCTCACGCCTGTAATCCTAGCACTTTGGGAGGCAAAGGCGGGAGGATCACCTGAGAGATCAGGAGTTCGAGACCAGCCTGGCCAACATGGTGAAACCCCATCTGTACTAAAAATACGAAAATTATCCGGGCGTGGTGGTGGGCGTGCCTGTAATCCCAGTTACTCGGGAGGCTAACAAGAGAATCGCTTGAACCCGGGAGGCGAAGGCTGCAGTGAGTCAAGATCGCGCCACTGCACTCCAGCCTGGGTGAGAGCGAGACTTGTCTCAAAAAGAAAAAAAAAAAGCGGTGATTCCACTCCCTCGCTTAACAGCCGTCATGGCTCCTCGGTGAGCCGGGACAAGGGGATCAGCTCCGCGCGCCTCTTGGCCTCTGCCCTGCAGCCGCACTGGGCGGCCTGGGCGCTGGACCGGCTTGACCCTCGGGCCGGGTCTTTGCGCACGGTGCTCGGGAGGGCCTGGGAACCCCTAGGTTCGGGGCTTGGACGGAACTCCGAGAGGAATCCTGGACGCACTCGCGTTGTTTGCGTTCATATTTGCAGTGATGGGGGAAGTAAGTCACAAGTAGTAAAGCAGGCCCCTGACGTCAGCACCCAGAGCCGACCCACCCCCCACTCCAGCCCACACACCCACCCCACCTCCATTCCCACCCCCGGCACACCTCCGACCCCACCACCCCACCACACCCTCACCCCCAACCCAGCGCCCACTCACCAGACGCCGCATCCGCGGGGTCGGCCTGTGGCGGGGTGGACAAGTGCCTCCGGGACCCGCATTTTTCCGCGCCTCTCCTCAGGCCGGACCCGTACGCCGCAGTCTCTCGGCCCGGACAGTCTTCCGGTTGCGCCGCAGTCTCTCGGCCCGGACAGTCTTCCGGTTGCGCCGCAGTCCGAAAACCGAGTCCGCCGCCACAGGCTCTCCACCCAGTGTCGATTTTTAGGTTTATAGGAGTCCTGTTGCTTTAAAAATGAAATCCCGCGGCAGCATCAAATCTCGCGATCTTCGAGGAAGTATACTTATTACCCACAATTCCATTTCCTTTCTCTTTCTTTCTGCTGCTCAAGATGGTGAGTAAGCTTTAGTTCCCCGGCACCGTAGCCGGGTCCCGGCTTTATCCGCTGCCATCCTCCTCCAGTCGCGGCCCCACAGTGCCTCCTGCTCCGCCTAACTGTAGGAGAGCCGTTCCTGGTGTGGTACGGAAACACTGAGACGGACTAAAGCCCTGGGTGGCCGGGAACGGGATGCCTCCTCCAGTCGCGGCCCCACAGTGCCTCCTGCTCCGCCTAACTGTAGGAGAGCCGTAACCGGTGTGGCACGGAGACATTGAGACGGACTAAAGCCCTGGGCGGCCGGGAGCGGGATGCGTTGGTCCCGATGCTTCTGGGCTGGAGGAGGAGGGCCAGGAGCGTCGCGGTGCGGGGCTCGGATGGGCCGAGGCGCTCGGAACACTAGCGGCTTGTGGTATTTCTGAGGGCCGCCCCAGAGGCTTTGACCAACGAGTTCCGAGCCCGCCCCTGCTGCTTCTGAAACCTCCGGGGCCGCGGCTCAGCCGCCGTAAGTCCTGTCCCAGGCGTCTCCTGGGTGGGCTACGGGAAGAGAGCGTGGCCTCGGCCTTAGCCGGGCTCCGGCCACTCGGGATTCCGGGGACTGCGTGCTCGTGCGGCTGATGGGAGACGCTCCTGTCGAGTAATGGCGAGGACGTTCCCAGCAACCAAGGCCGCAACTACGCAGGCTGGGGTGGCGCCGGGGGGACTTCAGGACGCAGCTCGCCGGCCTGGTTCGGGCAAGGGCCGTCGGTGTCCCTTGTTTTGAAGGAGGCGGCGGTTTAATCGGGATTTTCTTTTCTGCCCAGCCGAAAGGAAAGAAGGCCAAGGGGAAGAAGGTGGCTCCGGCCCCTGCTGTCGTGAAGAAGCAGGAGGCTAAGAAAGTGGTAAATCCCCTGTTTGAAAAACGGCCTAAAAATTTTGGTATTGGTGAGTAACAAACGGTAGAATGAAAACGGTCTATGTTTTTCCCCGGGAAAAGTGGTAATGGGGTTGAGTCGGATATTTTAGGTTTTAGTGGGTGTGAAGTGGTCTTAGTCCTTTAACCTGTGTCCCTTGGAGACGGGGGCAGTGATGGTGTGTCTCTTGTTTTTAATGGGAGTTGCTGAATGAGCACTCTGCTCAGTAGGGTAGTGGCCTTGGATTCAGCTTGGCCATCCGAAAACAAGCACAGTAGTGTCCCAGCGAGGCCCTCGGACTGCAATTCTGCTGTACTTGGTGGCACCTTGGCTTCTTGTTAGGAAGGGCATGGTGCTCTCGAGAGCTCGTGTTCTCAGGTGTTTGTGTACAGATGATGTAAAAGAATATTTGCTATTTGTAAGATGTGGATACGTTTAAATCACCAAGATCGCTGATGCACTAACACGCTTCTGAGTGGCCCCAGACAGGAACTTGACACGGAATTTGAGCCTCGGTCGATGTCGCCCTTTACTTCTCAGGACAGGACATCCAGCCCAAAAGAGACCTCACCCGCTTTGTCAAATGGCCCCGCTATATCAGGTTGCAGCGGCAGAGAGCCATCCTCTACAAGCGGCTGAAAGTGCCTCCTGCAATTAACCAGTTCACCCAGGCCCTGGACCGCCAAACAGGTGAGGTTCTGTGGCGTGGAAAGGAGTTTCTCAGGCAGGGACACTACTCTGACAGTTTTAGATCTGAGGCTTTCGGGTGAGGGGACCTTTTGAAGTTGATGAGTTCATTAAAATCAATGATTCCTTATTTCCTCCAGAACATGAGGGTGAATGGTTTGGTTTCTTGAACTGCGGTTGTCATTACACTATAGTTCTTATATACCAGGACAGCGATCTAGCATTTATATTAAGTGATAAAGATTAGAACCTTGACTATAAGCCTAAACCGAGAGTGTTTTACCAGCTACTCAACTGCTTAAGCTGGCCCACAAGTATAGACCAGAGACAAAGCAAGAGAAGAAGCAGAGGCTGTTGGCCCGGGCCGAGAAGAAAGCGGCTGGCAAAGGGGACGTCCCCACTAAGAGACCACCTGTCCTTCGAGCAGGTGAGTAGACCCCACCTTAAGATGAAGACTGGGGGCAGGTTGTTGCAGTGATGTAGAATGTCTTCACCTGAAATGACTGAAGAGTAAAACCGAGCTTTTTAACACTGAGTCAACAGCTGGGCCCAGCAGCTTCTTGTGACCAGAGCAGGCCCCATGAATGCTCACAGTCATTGTGTATTCTAGGAGTCAACACAATCACCACCTTGGTGGAGAACAAGAAAGCTCAGCTGGTGGTGATTGCACACGACGTGGATCCCATTGAGGTGCGTTTGCCTGTTGACTGCTAATCCAAGGGCTTCTGTCAGTACCAGGAAGAGAGTAGGCCTAATGGCGAGTCAGTAATGAGACCGAAGTGGGTGAGGACGGTACTGACAAGGGATCCAACTCATGCGTGGCTCTTGCAATGATGTGAATCTCTCACTGAATTTAACCTTGAAGTACAAATCGATGAGCTTTTTAACCCTGAGCACTTGGCTACCGAGCTAGCTTTGAATGAAATGTACTGCTTTTGGTCAAAATATACTTTTCAACTAATGCTTTCTTCCAGCTGGTCGTCTTCTTGCCTGCCCTGTGTCGAAAAATGGGAGTCCCTTACTGCATTATCAAGGGGAAGGCAAGACTGGGACGTCTAGTCCACAGGAAGACCTGCACTACTGTCGCCTTCACACAGGTTAACGCGTAAGTACACAGCCTGGCCCCAAACTTCCCCAGTGCATTTAATCCATGACTCACCGTTGTTTCCCTTATTAAGGGCAGTCTTTTAGTTTTAAGAGATAGCATTTACCTGAACTTTTGCCAGTGATGGTTAAGAATTTCTTCACCTGAATAAAATATGTGGTCACATTGCATCTCAGGCAAAAGATTGTCTTGAGCTAAAAATGAAGACACTAACATGTTCTGAAAGGGAAACTTGAGAGGCTAAAAACCCACTTTTGTTTTCCCTCCTGCCTTATTAGGGAAGACAAAGGTGCCTTGGCTAAGCTGGTGGAAGCCATCCGCACCAATTACAATGACAGATACGATGAGGTAAGAGCAGCTTTACACAAAATACTGTTGTGTGCTAATCTTTTTCCCAAACAACCGGCTGGCTTAACTCATTAGCTTTTCTATTTGGCAGTCAGCTTGGAAGAGCCAAACAGAACAATGCAACTAATAACCTTAAAAATCTCAGAAAACAAGAGGCTAAGCTGACTCCCTCTTTTTTGTCTTTTCAGATCCGCCGTCACTGGGGAGGCAATGTCCTGGGTCCCAAGTCTGTGGCTCGCATTGCAAAGCTAGAGAAGGCAAAAGCTAAAGAGCTTGCCACGAAACTGGGTTAAATTTACACTGTAAATAAAAATAAAACAATGAAAATTTTCCTTCAGCCAGTGTCTGTTGGTATCTTGGGTTGAATCTTACTTGGGGTTAGCAAGTATAGCTTTTTGAGCCTCACTGTCTTCCAGGCTGGAATGGAGAGGTATGATCTCAGCAACCTTTGCTTCCCAGGTTCAAGATACTCTGGTGCCTTACCCTCCCGAGTGGCTGGAATTAGAGGCCCACACCTGGCCAATTTTTGTGTTTTGGGTAGAGTTGGGGTTCCACAGTATTAGGCTGGTCTCAGCTCTTGACCTCAAGTGACCTGCTGCACCCAGTCCTCACCCTCATACATTCTTAGACCAGGCATTTTGCTCCTTAGAGATGTACTTTTCATGTTAAGTTTTAGGAATGTTCTTTGGAATGACTGAAACAAAGCCAGGGTGTTATGATCAACCAGTCATGAGCTCATGCAAAGTAGAAGACGCAGAACTTTTCTTTATCCCAGTAGCACATGATCCAGCATAAAGGTAATCTCTGCAAATACGTCGTCATAAAGGGATAGGGCTTTAGCAGCTGGTCTCACACCAGGTGTTCCACATACAAATTTCTTAAAACACAGGTATGATGTAGCTGCAGTCCATACCTGGGGTTGAAAGAGTGTTAGTGGGCTGAAGGGGAGGGAGCCAGAGGGCTACCTGGGACTCACCAGGTGGTGATGTACTACAAATGCTTGTTCCTTAGAGTGACTGGTTTACCCTCCAATGGGTCCTCCAGGGACTGCTTTCTGCAGAGACAGTGGACTAAAGTCCACCCTGTGCTGCCTGCCAGCCTCTGCACCACTTCCTCATGGCTATCATTTTAATTGGAAATCCTGTGTGGCTTTTACCTTGGCCTTGACCCCTCAGTACTTGCCTAGCTAGGTTCCCTTTGCCGAATTGCCACCTCCCCTGTATACACGTGCGAGAGTGTATGCCACAGCAGAGCCTGAGTAATGAAGATTAGGAGGAGGAAGGACAGTATTCACAAAAGCTACTTGTTCTAGGGTGAGCTGGTCACAACATACTGAAGTAAGCATCAGTGAAGATGGGCTCTGTGCCTGTGATTGGCCATAGCCTCCAAGTCTCAGTAATGCCAGTGGTTCCTTTCTGGATTGTTCTCGGGGATGAAAGCCTTCCTGGTTTCTGTCAGCCTCACCATCCCAACGAGGTCCACTTCTCCCTCAATCTATAAAGGAATGTGAGAGACCATGGAGACTGGCTGACTCCCAGAGCCTTTCCTAAAGTAGGAAGAGTCTATGTCCCTTATCTGGCCTTTCTGCCGGGGTTTCAGGATTCACTTGCTTCCTGGGAATGAACCCTCTATTTACCAGGTGGGGAGGGTTTCTGAATAAAAACGGTCACTTATGGTTACTCAGGGACCCACAGGAACAACTGTCACACCAAGGAAGACTTTTAAAACAGGACTGACTCAGTGGAGCCCTGGCAGTCCCACACACAGTCTTCCTCTCTTGAGGCCCCTTGGTTGGTAAAAGCTTCCCTGCCACCTCACCACCCCTCTATCTGCTGCTGCTTTCTTTGTGCTCTACCCACTACAACATGCAACGAGTGACCAACACTGCCATGCCAGAGTTGAGACCCCACACCTCTCCCCTGAACGAGCAATGGCTGCCTCCAATCCCTCATAAAGTGGGCAGCCATGAGGAGAAGCCCTGGCACCCAGCCTGCTGGAGACAGAGCATTTGGGACCGACCCATCCCAGGCATAAAACAGGAACCCATGAGCTAACAAGAGCCCCAGCTATTTCCATTTGTACATTAATTCTCCAGTTCCTCAATGACTCACACAGGTGCTCCTGTACCTGTCATTTGCTTTGCCTGGAATGTTCTTCCCATCTCTTAACTCCCAAATAGCTCCCTAGGGAGCCATCCCTGACCACTTTCTCAAGGTAGGGCTGGGATCCTTTCTCCAGTTCCTCTCGTTGGCCCCTCCTCATACCCTGCCATCATCTAATGTGTGGGGCACTAGAGAATTTGTTCAGAGAAGGGGCCCCCGTTTCATGAATCCCTCCTTCCCCTTGAGAGGTCAACATACGGAAATTGTTCGGTCATAAATGAGCTGGCTGAGAAGTTTAAGTCCATGTCACAATTGGGGATTTTAAAAACTATGCAAGGAATCGAATCTTCTGGGTATCTTCAGTTTCCCAGGGTCTCACCCAGGTTAGGGACTGTGAAGGAAATAGTGATATAAATTAGTAAACCCTGACTGCCTCTGCCAGGACAGCCAGCTCCCACATGCCCTACTCACCCTAGGTCGGTGCAGTGGAAGGGAGTGACCACACAGGCCCCAGTCTCAGCTGAGGAGGAGATGCGGCCGGCCTCCCAGGCAGGGTCCACCATAGTCCAGGGCATCATAGATAGCTCCTGACTTTCACTGGCCTATACTCCAGATTTCTCCGTTCCATTGGCCTGCATGGAGACAAGAAGTGCCCGAGCAAGGTTTGGCTGGAAAATGAATCCCCTAATGAGGGTGGCAGACTACACAGCCCACCAGGGCCAGACAAGAAGAGGAGAAAGGTAGAGGGCATTCTCTCTAAAGGGAAACTGGCCCTTTGATGCCATGTGGGAATGTGGGTCTGCACTCCCAGAGTCCAACTTTACAAGAGAAGCTAAAAATCTGGACTCCTCCATGAATATTTTACGTGAAATGTTTTAAAACATGTTGGCCAAAACCTCAACCACAAGCCGAATCTGGCCTACTGTTTGCTGCGCTAAATGGAACATTTGGTTGGATACACTTGTCTGAGGGTGTACTCTAGGGAGAGGGCAGTCAAATCATTTAGGACACTTTTTCAAAGGACCACCCTCACAGTGAGACCTACAGACCCTTTGGCCCTGGGGAGGATAAGTTCACGACACCTGAAAAAAGAGTGACATGCAGGACCCCAAATAAGACTTTCCTCCATATATCAGGAGGCGGCCTCAGGTAGCTTCAGAAGGGCAGTCAGGTGTCAACAACAAGCCCCACAGGATGACTGATATTGAGAGCTCTCATCTGAGGTCAAGGAAGTGACTAAAAGTCCTGTCAAGAGGGGCAGGCCGCCCAGCAGAAGCCAGGTCTCCACTGGTGAACTCAAGTGAGATCAGCCCTAGGGGCACAACCACACACTTACTCTGCGGGCAGAGGGACAGGCTCGGCCAGAACTCTGGACTCCAACTCTGCAGTCAGGTTCAGCTTCCGCTTCCGACGCTGGACCTAAAGTGACAGAGCATAAACCCAAGCACATGGCAGCAGGGTCAAGGGCCCAGAGTTACCCCACCAGGTGCCGGTCTTTACCTGCCATGTCCCCAAGCCAAAGGCAGTCACAGGGATGAGGAGCAGGACCCACTGGAGAAAGGAGTCGTCTTCCGCTTTTATGGCAGATGCATCTGCTGCAGAACTGCTACACCTGCTTGGCCTCCAGGCCACCTCTGGAGAAAGTTTCACAACACTGACATGGAGGCAGAAGCCCTTGAACAGAGACCTGGAGCAGCCAGTTCCAAAAAAGACTCCAGTACTGCCTGAGAGAATGTGGCACAGGAAGGAACAAAACCTGCTGCCTGGAGCCTACTAGCAGCCCCTATGTCCAGCCCAGCCCAACCCAGTGCCCGGGACATGGCACACACTGAGTATGCTTGCCGACTGAATAAGTGAGATCTAGGGCTCAGTGTTGGCTTGACCACCAACCACGACCCTGGGTAACTCATGTCTTTTTACTCAAGTATATGCTAAGATGCATTCCACTGGACTAAGATGCACCATTCATCCACTCAAAATGCATTTAATAAGCGGCTAGTTACTAAGTTGCTTAGCCAGGCACTCACTAGGATTTAACTCCTAGGAATTTCCACATCATTATCTTCCCTATTGGGCCTTGGAACAAGAGCAAACATTCCGACAAGGCCATTCTGAAAGTTGTCTTGTTCGTGGAATAAAGCCCAAAGATAAGCCTGTAAGCTGTGGGATGTTCTGAGGACAGGCAGGCATGCTGCAGAGAGTAAGAATAACGGACTTTGGGGACTCGAGGGAAGGGGGTGAGGGATAAAAGGCTACACATTGGGTATGGTTTATATTGCTTAGATGACAGGTGCACAAAATCTCAGAATTACCACTGAAGAACTCATCCATGTGACTAGAAACCACCTATTCTAGAAACTATTGAAGTGTTGAAAAGGGAAGAGTGCTCTACCTGCCACCTACTACTGTTCTTTTCTTCCTAAGGATGGTGTTACTGCTGAACCATGTTTAAGCCATGCCCACATTTTCTGAATCCTTTTTACCATTTCCCTTCTCAGCACTAGCTTCTGTATGACTTCAAACAGCAGCACCTGCAGCTGTTTTGCGGCACTGCCCTTCGATTCTTAGGCCCGTTTGCCTGCACACACAATCGCCCACTGCAAACCTTCCACGCCAGGTCAGTTACTAACAAATGGCTGTCAGTATGAAGACCAGACACAGCCCAGGTGTATCCTGCAGTCATGTGCTGCCTTGAGGAATCCGAGGAGTCTGCAGAGCCTGTACATTGTGTGATTTTTGCTAGAGATCACAGCCTTGGCTTCTTACCAACCCCTCTCCTGCCTCCCTTTTTCCACTAATTTTTCCTGAGAATGTTTTCTTCATTTGTTTTACATGACTCAGGTTCTGGGAAGTTCACACTGAAACCACATTGCTTGGCCTCACTCTAAATTCATGACAGCCTTTAGTCTTGAGATGATTTTTGTATGATGTGTAAGGAAGGGGTCCGGTTTGTTCTCTGCATATGGCTAGCCAGTTTTCCCAACACCATTCAATAGGGATTCCTTTCCCCATTGCTTTTGTCAGGTTTGTCCAAGATTAGATGGTTGTAGATGTATGCTGTTATTTCTGAGGCCTCTGTTCTGTTTCTTTGGTCTATATATCTGTTTTGATAACAATACCATGCTGTTTTGGTTACTGTAGCCTTGCAGTAGTTTCAAGTCAGGTGGCGTGATGCCTCCAACTTTGTTCTTTTTGCTCAGGATTCTCTTGGTAACATCACACACACTGGAGTCTG